CCCCAAAACCCCAAAACCCCAAAACCCCAAAACCCCAAAGGTAAGAATTACATAATTAATTAGTAATATGATAAGGAATCATTGAATAAAGAATAAGTCATTTGCAAATTAAATAATTTAATTCATATTCTTATCCAGAAGTAATACAGTCTTAAAGTTTAAATGTATACCATCGATAACAAAACTTAAAACAACCAGAATACATCATTGCAAACTCTGATTTGTCCTCTAGAATTGGAATAATAACCAATCATTAATAGATTAAATACCAATGAGGATCTGCATTAAAGCACATAAAAAAACTCAGGCGAAGTAGTCAATATTATTTGTAAGACAAACAGTTTTTTAGGAATAAAGTTTAAAGAGAGAGTTTAGCTTTTAACTGGAATTAGCATATATATTGTTACTATAATGGGAAATCTAGTTGCCCCATTCATCTTCCATTCCTCAAATATCATTTTGAAAAACAAATTCAATCTAAATGATGAAGAAGAGCTGGTAAAATTTAGTAGTATGATATATATGACTACAATTATAACTTTGGCAATAGTTAGTCCGTTTATTGGAGGACTTTTGGACTTCCTTGGAAGAAGGAAAATGCTTACAATAATTTTTATTTCTACCGGAGTATTCTGTGCAATTCTTCCCCTCTCTGCTAGAATTTGGCTTGATTTTACAATTATTAGAATTATTCTTGCAGTTCTAACTAACACAATGATAAACAATACTTTGATTGCTGACTATGTGAAAAATGAAAGTATTGGTAAAGCTGTTATATACAATAATTTTTCTAGATATATTGGAGCCTTCCTATCCACTTCTCTGTTCTTAAGTCTAATTGCTTACACCTCTATTTCAATTACTTATAACGTGATGGCAGTATTGATGTGTTTGACAGGAGCATATTTATTTTTTTCATTGAAGGAACCTTAAGAATTGTCAATAATAGAACAAAATCCTAATACTCAAGGTTTTCAAAATAACTAAAGATATGCGGTTAGTTATTGGAGTAATATCAAGGGAGGAATCCAAGAATGCAAGAATAACTCAATTCTTATCTTTTGCTTGATGCAAAATTTTGTAGTGCGAATGGGTACCGTCCTTGGTTCAAATGCTTATAGTTTGTGGGTTTTAGCGAACATTGCTGATTAAAAATAGGCATTTGCGTTGTTGGCTTTTGCGCTTTCTTTATCCAGTTTTCTTAACTTCCTAATACAAATACCTTTAATTAAATTGCTTGATAAAATAAGGCCAAGTATCTTGCTTTTTTTCGTTTAAATATTCAGGGGCTGTTCTTTATTGATTCCAATGCTTATTGATAATAAAAATCCATAACTTATAGCTGCTGCTATAGTTATTATGGCTCTAGCGAATGGAATGGCAAATGTTGGAAGAGATTTGATATTTCAAAAAAACTAAGGAGCATAATCGAGAGGTGCCATGGTTGGCTTCATGGATTTATTTTAAAACATCGGTATACTTCTTTATATATCGGTATTTGCCTTTTTATTTTAAGTTATTGGACTTAATGGATGCTTTGCATTCCTAGGGATTTGCGATTTAATATTGCTGGCAATCTCAATGAAATTTGATTTAAATAAGAGATCAAGAATATGAAGCATAAAACCATAATGATTTTGATAAAGAAACCACCTAACTTAATTTTATCGTTTTGAAAAAGTAAGCTCATATTTGAATATTGTTTGAAATCTACGAGCTAATAAATTAGCTTGTGTATATTTAAGTAAAACCAAGACTCAAAAAAACATATTTACAAACAACATTTTTATTCTAATTCAACAAAATACTCATGTAATCTAATATCAAGTTTAAAATAAAGTATAATCTACCAATTATCTAATATTTATGATTAACATGATTTGACTATATTTCTTAATTTTTGAGATAGGTAAAATTAGATTCTGGGGGTTTTGGGGTTTTGGGG